GCGGCACTTATCTTGAAATTTTAACTATAAATTTTAATTAAATTTCTCTTAATTTTAATTAAAATTCTCTTGATTTCTTTATAAAAATTACGATTTTTATTGGTTAATCAACATGTGATATTTTTCACATGACATAAATTTACTATAAAATATATAAAAAAAAATTTTGTTTATCAATTGTGTGACGGTCGGGTGACTCGGGTAAAGATTTCCTAATTTGGGACGGTCTCACCTGTTTCCCTCCTCCCCCCTTTTTTGTGAAAGGATGTAACGTAAACCACCGTATTAAATTGGTCTGGCCTAAGCATACAATATTGGGCAGAAATTGTCGAATAACATTATTTGACAATTTGCCCGTATGTGAATAAGCGGAAACGAAGTTTCCGCTAATTCCTAACGGATCAGGATATTATTATTACTAATTTTTTAACCAATCATAGATTGGCATTTTGTCTAGATTCCTGATTCAAGTATGATACGTGGAATTCGCTGAACACAGTAATTTGAAAAGCACTGTAATATACAATTCTACATTTGTGTACACTTGTGGAATTACTAAAATAGTTAACGATCAATTCCACAACGTTGTGGAATAATTTCCCTGCACTAGCATGCAACTATCCGTACCGGTACATATAAAAATGGTTGAATAAATAATTTCCTTTTGCATGAAATGGGCAAAGTGACGGCTTACGAGGATACACCGAAACATCTTAAAATATCTTTAGGATTAGCTGTTATCGCTTCTGACAATCAGTTACACATTCTAGAACTAATTAATTTTTTGTCATGGATGCAAACGAATTGTTTGAACTAGGAATACGTTATCTGAATGAAGACGATACAAAGAATGAAGAGAAAGCGTTCGAATTTTTCAAGTTATCTGCTGTGCTAGGTCATGTTGCTGGAATAAATAAGGTCGGTGATTGTTATCGGCATGGAAACGGTGTTGAAAAAGATGATCAAAAAGCTTTCGAATACTACATAAAAGCTGCCAAACAAAATGATGTTACAGGAATAAACAATGTTGGTTGGTGTTATCGAAACGGAATTGGAGTCAAAAGGGATGAAAAGAAAGCTTTTGAAAATTATTTAAAGTCTGCTAAGTTTAACGATGCCAGCGGAATGTATAATGTGGGATTGTGCTATCGAAACGGATTTGGAACTCCAAAAAACTTGCAACTAGCTAATTATTGGTTTCGAAAGTAAATATTTTGTATCACTGTTATAATATGTTAAATTTCACTATGAATTAATAATGACTTTAAAAATATAGAGAAAGAAACAAATTCTTAGGTATTTAAGTTTAAATTTACATTTATTTATTTAATATTAATTCATTTATTTCTCTTAGAAACGATTAAAACACCGTACGAAGATTCTAATATTGATGATGATGATTTGAAAAAAATATTGAACGATGAGAGATATCAATTATCATGGATGCCATTTAACAAATTCGAAATCATCGAAGAGATAGATAAAGGTGGGTTCGCAACTATTTACAAAGCCCAGTGGAAAAAAGAAAACATAAAACATTCAAATACAATATCTGTTGCGCTTAAATTAATTCATGGGTCACATAAACGAAATCAAGAATTTGCCAAAGAAGTAATTTTTTATTTTATATTTTATTTTATATTTTATTTTATATTTTATTTTATATTTTATTTTATATTTTATTTTATATTTTATTTTATATTATCTTTTTTTTTTTTTGACTAAACTATCTCATCATTAAAGTTAAAAGCGTATTGTGATATTGGATACAAAAGCCCTTCATTTTTAAAATTTTACGGAATATCCAGAGATGAATCTACTAAGGATTATATATTTGTGCTGAAATTTGCACCAAAACTTTCTTTGCGCAAGAATCTTTCCTCCATATCGCAACTGAAATGGAAAGAAAAATTAAATTTATTGTATTGTATTGTATCTGATCTTGACGCAATCCATTCTCAAGGACTAATTCATAGAGATTTAAACGGCGCAAACATTTTACAAGACACTTTAGATAGTGCATATATTTCAGGCTTTACAGATTTGGGACTTGCGGTATTGGGACTGGCTAAAGAAGGCGGACTTTATGGCGTCTTGCCCTATATTGCTCCCGAAGTTTTACTCGGTCAACCGTTCACACAGGCAGCTGATATCTACAGTCTTGGCATCATCATGTGGGAAATATCAACTGGAAAACTACCTTTTAAAGGTGAAACTTATTATACTGAGTTTGCAATAAAAATTTGTAAAGGATTGCGACCTAAATTTGTACCTGGAACCCCTGATTGTTACGTTGAATTGGCTCAACGATGTATGGATGCCGAAACGACTAACCGACCTACAGCTAATGGCATTATGCTAGAATTGGGATATTGGATATCCGATGAACATGATATAAAACAACATTTCTTAGATGCAGATGAGATTGATAAGGAAAGTAGTTCAATTTCTTCCAAAGAAGGTGGTGCAAGCTGTTCCGAAGCAGCTTCCAGGGCCGGTTCAAGGGCCGGTTCAAGGGCCGGCTCAAGGGCCGGTTCCAGACCCACCACCCCAATGCCTGATGATCAGGTAAGAGGATAATTATTGTTGTGCATAAATACCATTTTTAATTGGAGAAAGCCATTCAACTGATTGCCAAAAATAATATACTCTTTTTCAATAAGATTTCAATTCCAATTGATTACCAAAGTGATCAGGCTTCTTTAAATAACAACGCTACCAAGAAAAACCGAGAGGATGAAGATGATATGACTTTCAAACAGTTTAAGAAAACTGCCGACATGGGTGATGCTGAAGGAATATATAATGTTGGTTGTTGCTACGAAAAAGGGATCGGTGTTGAGAAAGACGAATGCGAAGCGTTTAAATATTATCTGAAGGCTGCCGACATGGAGCATTCTGCTGGAGCATACTGTGTCGGAATTTTTTACGAAAATGGAATCGGAGTAAAAAAAGATGTGCACAAGGCCTTTATTTATTTTAAAAGATCAGCAGCTATTGGCAATGCTGATGGAGCATTTAGCGCTGGTGTTTGTTATCGAAACGGAATTGGAGTCGAGAAGGATGAATGTAAAGCATTTGAATATTACCTGAGAGCAGCTGATAAGGGTCATATTGAAGGGACATATAATGTCGGTTATTTTTATCACCATGGAATTGGAGTTATCAAAAATAAGCGCGAAGCGTTTATTTATTATAAAAAAGCCGCTGAATTAGGTTATGAAAATGGAATACATAATGTTGGTTATTGTTATGAACATGGAATCGGTGTCGAAAAGGATGAATGCAAAGCGTTTGAACATTATTATAAAGCCGCTGACATGGATTTGATTGTCGGAATGTCACAAGTTGCGCGATGTTATCGAAATGGAATTGGGATAGAAAGAGATTTACAAAAAGCCAACTACTGGTATCATAGGTAAAAATATATATATATATATATATTTGTTTAATTCATTCAATATCGTATGAATGTATTTATATAACTGTTTCAAATAATTAGAGCAAAAAGTGAGATGATAGGTAATTCGCATTATAGTATTAATTTTAGTTACTAGTGATTTAATATGCTTAAGGCCATTTTTTATTAATAGTAAAATATGAAGATGTGTCTGAAAGGTTTGATGTTGATAATGATTTAAAAAAGATGTTGGTCGAAAACAAATATCAAATGCCATGGATTCCTTATGATGAATTTGTAGATATCAAAGAAATAGGAAAAGGCGGATTCTCAACCGTATGCCGTGCACGTTGGCTTGATAAAACTCAATGTATAAATACACTAGTTGCTCTTAAAATCATTAGCTCAAATGACATTAAAGAATTCATTGAAGAACTGAAGGCGTATTGTGAAATTGGAAATGTAAATCTGTCGTTTTTAAAATGTTATGGAATATCAAGAAATGATAATGGAAAGTATATTATTATTTTAGAATATGCCAAGAAGAAATCTTTGAGAAAAAATCTTTATGATATATCACAAGTAGATTGGGAAAAAAAATTAATATTGTTACATTGCATAACTTCGGATCTTCAAATAATTCATTCTCAAGGATATATTCATCGAGATTTGCATAGCGGCAATATTTTACAGGATAATTTGCATAGTGTGTATATTTCGGATTTGGGATTATCAATTTCGGGTTCAGATAAAAAGAAAGTTGGGGTTTCTGGAATTCTACCTTATATTGCACCAGAAGTTTTGAATGAAGGTCAATATACTGCAGCATCAGATATTTATTCATTTGGGATAATAATGTGGGAAATCTTATATGGATATCCTGCATTGTATAACTGTAAATTAAGAATGTGGGAACTTCAAATACAAATATGCTGTAACGATTTGAGACCACCTATAAATAAAGAAGCGCCACGGTGTTATGTGAATCTGATGAGAGAGTGTTGGGATAGGGACCCAGAGAAACGACCATCAGCCGAAAGACTTTGTAAAAGTTTCAAGACATGGAAAAAAAGCGATAATGTTATGTTGGAATTGAACAAATCCAAAATAATACTTGAAAATATCGAAAAATCGTATATAAACATGTTTTGTGGAGGAAGCAAGTTTATTTCTTATACTAAATCGATTTTGGATATTGAAATATTGCCTCCGATAGATGATATTGACATCCCGAATATTACAAACGATTTTTTATCTTCTCATGAATAAGATTTTGCGAGTATTGCGATAACTAAGTAATCTAAGAGATGTAGTTGTCATATTTTTGTTTTTCTTCATTTGTTATTTCTCTGATATGAATAATTACGATTTGAATGATTTCTATATGATAAATAACAAGAGAAATGTTTCTAATTATTTTATTACTTTATTGATAAAAGTAAGGTTTATTTATATTATAGTATATGTTTTTGAGGGATCCATATTAGTGATGCCGACATAACGTTTTAACATACTATGTTTTGGGTTTTGTCACATGAAAAAACCGATATTAACATAAATTGTAGGTTAAAACCGTTAATATTAAAATAAAACTAGTTAAAAATGTTGGTTAAAATTACTGCTATTACGTATCACATTACGTAAGAATCAACTACGTATATAGGTATTAAATTAACCTTCGTTATTTCCCGTCTCAATATGATCACATGACGGGGATTTTCGTGTTATTAATCATAATTTTTATCACAGATTTATTCCTTTTTTTTCTTATTAGTTATTTCCCCAGGTTTATTAGTTATCTCCCCGACTTTTTATTTGTTATTTGCCGAAAACTTTAAAAATGTAAATGAAGACAAAGAAATGTGATAGCAATGATTAATAACACGAATAGAGATGGGCAAAGTAATTTTGTAAGTAATAATGACCTATGACTTATCCCTTACTTAATATTAAGTAATATTAAATGATTATTACATTCAATTATTTTTTACGTGGACATATAAAACACATGATAAAAGTCGGAGACAGGTGATCAAAATTGAGATTGAACGAAAAGGTGTTACTAATAATAAAATTATTTAAAATTACTTAATAGATTGAACGAAAAGGTGTTACTAATAATAAAATTATTTAAAATTACTTAATAGATTGAACGAAAAGGTGTTACTAATAATAAATTTATTTAAAATTACTTAATAATAAATATTGCAGGGTAATATTAAGTATTATTAAGTAATAATATGTAACTGACTTTGCCCATCTCTAAACACGAATCCCTGTCATGTCGTCATATGATACGGTGAATAACTCATTTATTCTACCGGTCGGGGAAATAATTGAAACATTCACCCAGCGGCGATAAGCAGAAATTCGTCTGATTGGCTAATAAATTCAATTTTAATTTTATATGATCATGTGAATTTTTTTTGCCATGATATTTTTTACGTAATCAGTTTCGCAAAATATCACCGAAAAAACTTCACATGGTCATATTAACTATCCAATAATGTACACTTATTGGACAGACGACAAAAAATTGACTGTTATTTGTCGTACGTATGTTCAATAATGATGTTATTGGATAGTTAATATGACCATGTGAAGTTTTTTCGGTGATATTTTGCAACGTAATTTCATATGCAAAATGCATATCGTAAATGTGTACAAGGTTGGTGGCGCAGATCTCCTGAACTACGAATCAGATTTCAAGATTAGGTGCAATGTAACACGATCAGGAAGATTCAAAACAAACGTTCGTTCTGCCAAAAATTGCTTATAGCTCAAAATCAGCATAATAAACCACCTTCTGTGCTCTAACAAAAAGGTTTCGTTGAACAATTTACAATAAGAACTATCTCTTTCTAGATTCTAACTTTGACCCTAACCCTAACCTTAACGAATTTTAAGAATTTAGTCTTCGCCGCCAACCTTGTACACATTTACGATATGCGTAAAGCGCATCATGGCAAAAAAAATTCACATGATCATATGAAATGTCGAATAAATAATATTTATTATCAAATTACGTATATCAGATATATTAAATCAAATTATGAAACCATATGGGCGGATTTTAACGATTTCAAGATCTTCAGATGTGATAATTGAAAATTGATCGACATATATTTTTAGTATTTCATACGTAATAATAACGATCGACAAATATTTCCCTTAATTTATTGGCAATTGTATTAATTAAGAGATCGGCATCGGTTCATGTGTTCAATTTCTTATAGTTGATATTAGAAAATCGTTACCAGATGTAAACTTTACTCTTATGTTAGCACCTTTAGAATACAAGGCATTTTGCTATATCGTGATAAGTTGATTAGGCTCTTGTTTTTTTTCTCACAAATTTTCTTATTTTTTACATTATGGCGCCTATAGTTTTAAAAGAATCTTTATTTAAAAGTAATCTAATTTTTAAACCGATTTTATTTTTCAGGGGTAGCTGATCAGTTAAAACCTCAAGTTAATTAAACCCCGGGAAATAACAAATTTGTCGATCGTTAAAAATTTGTCCCTTAATTTGCGTGCAAGTGTATCAAATAGAGGATTTACATCCATTTTTACATTCAATTTCTATAGAAAATCATCGTAAAAGCAAACTTCACTCTTATGGCAGCTCCCTTTTGACATAAAATATAACATATACTTTACTAAGTATACCCGAACTCTACGTTTGTTTCTTGCAAACCAATTTGTTTTATACGCTGTGGCACTTCTAGTTTTAAAAGAATCTTGAGTCGAAGTTGCCAAAATTTTGAAATATGTTTTAGAGAACAATACCCAAAGCAACGATACCTTTTTTTTTTTTTTTTTTAGAAAAAAAAAAACATTTTATTTTCAAAAGGCGATATCCCTAAATTATAACCTTTACATAATAATGAATTGTTTTTTTTTGAATAACAAACGAATAAGTAATATTAGCGAAGAAGTTTATATAACAATAGTTATAACGAACGATAGTAAATCGATAACTTATAATGATAGTGTAACGATAATCTTTAGTGATAATTTATATCAATATAGCTGATTGCCATATTTTCAACTTTTCTTTCTTTTTTTTTTTTTATTTAACAATGAATTTAAATCAAACAAAAATTTATAATACCGATCTTAATAATTTTGAGTATGTGCCTGAAGATTATGAAGAAGATACCGAGAGTACAAGTTTGGTTGTTGAGTCTGAAAGTATTATAACAGAAAGTGTTATGACAGATAAATTTGACACTGATATAGAATTGAAGCCATTTCTTTTCAACTACACCAGCTTCGATAAAGCATGTGAATTGGCAGAAGAAGAAGAAAGGGAAAATTTCAATATTTTAAGAGAAAATCACACTGATGCTAATGTAGACAGCAGTGACTTAGTATCATCTTTGACATTCGATTTTGAACCCGGATTAGATGATGAAAGTGAATACCTTGTTGAGGGTATTATTAAAACCAATACTAAAACCAAACTTAGCCAGCAATTGTCACCTTGTCCAATTTTGGACATTGTTGATGGTAATATTAAATGCTGTGGAGACTATTCGGAATCACAAAGACTACTTGCTCAACTCATTGGAGCATGGGAAATAGATTCTGAAATTTTTCAACAAACCCAGGCAATAAATAAATTATCGATGATAGGAGTTTGCCAATCACATTTTTTTTTTGACCAAAACCAGCTTCACGAGCCACATATTAAGCAGGAACGATCAATTGAAAAAAGTTGGATATTTTGCCGACGATGCATATTTTGCAACAAGTATAAATATTTTTTTAGCAGGGGTAGAACTTGTATACAGCATTCATGATCTATCTTTGGAAAGAATGTACAAATTCCCTGTGTAGATCTTATGGTTTGTCCCGTATTTGATGAAGTAGAATCAGAAAATGCTACAAATAATAGAGGAGCTAAGTATTGATCCAGATATGTTTGCTCAGGATGTTTTGTTAGACAAGGTGGTCATTTCTATGAATGACATGGTCTTGGATATCCAAAATTCGAGTGTAAACATTTACACAAGAATGATACAAATGATGGACTTCGAATTTTGGGTCATTGGATCTTGCGCATGGCTGAGACCGCTGATGAGGGTAAAAAAAAGCTCTCTTAACATACTTGATTTCTAGTCTACAAACATATTTTGACACCAGATCATTTTCAGTAATTGCAAATTCACCTAGCCTTCTTTTTATTAAAATAGCTTTAAGACTAGGTCATATTAATATAATCAATATTATAGATCAAAAGTTTGATATTAATTCTGAAACGGCTTTAGATTTAGGAAAAGCATTAGAGATAGCAACATGGAATGCACGAAATGAAGTATGAAATAAAAAAGCAAATCTTGAAAACCCAAGAACTTTAGTTGAATATCAGGATGGATTTCTGTTATGTATCGCCAATTTTTTAATAGACTCATTGAAACATTATAAAGGAAAAAGTATGATGTACTTGTAAAAAAAATGCAACAAAGGAACTTACTATTGAAGGCTTTTGATAAGGATCGTGTAATAAAAATATCAGTATTTCTTATTTCAATGATATAAATGTATGGTTAACTCATATAATGAGCTCCTTATGTAGAAAACCAAAACTATACCATTCTTTGTACAATATACTTGGTGTTGCTAACGTAGTATCTCACACACAACAGCATGAAAAGATCCTTGAGAAGGCATAACGATATGAGGCAAAACCTGAAACAAGATTATTGTGTAGTGAATATATATGGAATATCTTAGTTATCGATAATATCAATTTTATAGAAAGAACTTTTATGTATGAAAATATCTATGATGCAGTGCGAAGAACTGCACATGCCACATTGAGAATGGTCTTCTAGTTTATAATGTCTATGCAACTACGCTATCGAAATCATATAAATATTGGTGGTTCTCGGGAAATTAATCAGTCTTTTTTTGGGACATCACCTTTTACTCATGACCTTCTTGAAGTTTATGAGACAGCGTTTCAGAATCTTTTGTCTTCAGGTACTGAGGATTGGGATGTAAAAAGTATCCTAAGTGAAATTTCTAAGAATATTCTAATTGGATACCAGGTGCTACCTCCCAAAGTTGTAATACTTAGTCCTGGAAACAATCCAAATTGTGATGTGAATATTCATAATACATGTGATTTATTCTATAGTAACATAGAAATATCTAATACTGGATGTATAGATATAGCTTGCGACCAGGCGATTTTTCATAGATTGATTTCGTATAAGGAGAAAAATAAAGATGCAAAGCCTCTATTAGGTTAATGGCATACTTCAAGAGATATGTATATTGCATTGATAAATATTTTTTCAGGTTATGGTATCGCCAGTATGGCTATAAAGCTTGGGGTTCGGTTTTTAGATAAACTTGAAAGTGTCGTGAACTATCAGGCTACTAGTCGAGTTTTGAAATTGATTTGGGTTGCTATTGGCATTGCAATTTATAAATATTTGCACAACAAAAATCAAAGAATGAATGATATTGAAAATAGTCAAAATGATGTACTCAGAGTTTGTTACCATTACTTTTGTTGGATCGGCTATTGGATTGGGCACAAGATCGGTATTCGTCAGGGCAACTATGAAATGCAAATAAAAAATCTTAGGGCATTTGCGCTCTCTTTCCAGTTGTAGGCAAAATTAACTACGCTAATTCAGTAACTCATTTTTTATCTTATATTGATAATGATCCACACCTTCAAGAATTACTTTGATGCATCTGCTTCATTAATTTAACCTGATCTGGACACTTCTTTGCTTTTGATGAAATATTAGAATGTTTTGGGGTCATGTTTGTAAAACAAAACATTGGAGGCAAAATAGTAGACTCAGAAGAATTGAAGCTTCAAATTAGTTCCGTGCAAGCAGAAAGGGAACGACTAGAGTTGTTAATTTCCAAATACATGGGAGATACAGTTACCGTTAAAGAAGAAAGAGCTATGCTATCAAGAAAAGAAGCTCTATGGAAATTAGCAAATGAATTATTCGCTGCTCTCTCTCTTCCAGATTCAAAAATGCATGAAATTTTCAAATATGCACCAGAAATAATGCCAACAGGATTTAATGCTATATATGCATATTATGATCTTGGAGTAGCCCGTCTTCAAGAAATTTTGCGACAAGATGTATATAAGGTTGAACCAAGAGATACAACAGGCCGTAAGAAATGCAACATAGTAAACATAGTAGTACACAAACTGCTTTCATTATCAGAATGCACGTATAGATTCTGTGCCAGGTTATGTCGATCATTGCCGATCGTTTATCATATGATGATATTCGGGTAACAAAACATGCATAATTCGGTTAGAACTTATTCTAACATATACTATATATATCGAAATTTTTTTTTTTTTAAATACTAATACATATTATCGTTATGATATCTGAAATTTCAATACTACTACGTATTCTTCACGATTCAAATACTGGTTATATTCGCATGTCAAAGAATTATATATAAAGTTCATAAATTTTTGGACTTTTTATTTTTATTTTTTTATTATAAATATTACTGGTTTTTTGAGGTTGTTTTTACCTTTTATTAATAAAATGTTGGAGTTTTTAGTTATACAGGCCATTGAATTCTTTCTACGCATGTGAAGGAAGTAACTGTGTTTGAAGGCTTGATATGACTATTGAAAACGTCCAAACAAATAATGCTGCAGTAACTTTAAAAGTTGTGTTACATTATTATCAAAAGCAGAAGTACTGTACGTACATACGATTTCTAAATTGATATATCAGTTTGATATTTATCGCTATTTTCGAATTAATGATATATATAGGTTCGATAAAACAACCTGTCCGTGAAAGATTTTACCTCTTTTTTCTGAAATTATATGG